TGTCGTCCGAGATCATTCTTGCTTCACTCTCCGGTCTGTGAGCTTCAGGTGAACTGTTAACAAGACAAATCTTACCACCGAAGTTGGGCGGATGTGCACGAGACTGCGTAATTACTACTCTGGGTCGGTAAGTGCTAAAACGAACATCCTGGCTGTTCTGGGAGTGTTGAGTAAGTAGAAAACTGCCCTTTGGCAGACGCGACAAGGAGAATCGATTGAATAGGCGAACACAGGCACCTAGAGATGAAAATATTTCATCTAACTGAAAGGATTCGGCACCGTCAACAAACATTCTGTGATTTCCTCAATGGACATCATAACATGTGGCAGCGTTAACTACAGAATGACGAAGGGAAACTGCAAGTTCCATGGATCTAACACCTTTCCAGGGACCACTAGCGTCATCATTCACTCACATGGTTGTGTCGCTGTTTCGTTTAGTTGATATATCCATCAGTCCACATCACGACACAACCTGTAGGATTGTACTAAAACGCGCCCGCATGTACTCTTAAAGACGTGACCGTGTTCGTTTATAGTATACTTGGCTCCCTAAAATGTCGGCCGGACACGGATCTCGGTAGTGGGTTTAATCGAACTGACAAGTTCGTCTTGATTCAGTCCATGAAGCAAAGCAAAATCATTGAAGAAGAACGTCACGAACGGGAATTTAGCTGGCATTCAGATGAGTTTCCAGTCGAAACCGAATTGGTATGCAAATGAGTGGATTTTGCTAATTTCGTGTAGTTTGGGTTCAAGGAGAACATAATGTTGACGGAAACTCGGGGACCGCGCCTACCTGATGAGCCCCAAGAAGGAAGAAACCTGTTGTGGGTTGTTGAAGCGTTTTAAGCAACCTTATGAGTAGCGCGTTAAGTATATACAATGTATTACAATATCTCGAATATCATACGAACTGAAACGTGTGGTTGCTTTGTGTAGCGCACTCAAGTGAGGATGAAGGTTATTAACGAAAGATCCGCCTGAGATTCAGGTGTGTCTTCTGTGAAAACCGAAAGGGAATGCAAACGAGCATCTTTATCACTGTAATCTTCTTCTCACTTGACTACTTTTATCAGGGTCATCAAGGTCTAACGATAATGGCAGACATGACCTTGGTTCGATCATCACAATTGACGTTTGTTCACAAGGGCAAGCCCCTGATCATACACACACACAAAATAAGATGTTGTCAGTGCGAAACGAGAAATCGCCAGAAATGAGGCTGGTTATCCCAGCTCGGGTAAGACCCAAATACAGTATGCTTAGAACCATGTAGGAAAGTAAGTGATTCAAGGTAGGCACATTTTGTTTTACTGTGGGACGCCGTAAAATAGGCGTAATTTGTTAACGTTTTCAGAGAATAAGATTCATGTTGGTTGAATCTCTTGCTGAACAGCTGAAATACGTGTATGATTACTGACCACTCTCATCCAAGAGAGCCGTCTCCATCGGAATTGTTTACTACGGAGTGGTCACAGTAAGAAACGGCGTTGAAGCTCGTGGCTACGCCCGTCAAAATTGTGGCTGACTTGTGAATAAATAATGACCAATGATTCTAATGATCCATCCCACTTCCATCATATCAATAACACTAATTTTATAATACTACACCATAATACTACTGATTGCAAGATTCACAATCGTAACCTCTCTCTCTTTGATTGGAATAGTCTTTCTTGGAACTTGAGGAGAACCGTTCAACAATGGTACTGGTGCATTGATTAGATTATCTGCAGAATCTTCACATAAACTACGGATGTACCGGTGGATTTCATCTCCCCTTAAATCGTACCAGACCGCATTCTTCAATCAGTTAGTTATGGTCAGCGGTTGAGTTGTCTCATCGATCGTGTCGATGAGCGTGTCGATCGCGACCAAACAATAGAGCGGTGTAATCCGAGGTCCGGTGCGCCGTTTTTCTCGGGTGAGAGAAAATAACAATGTGGTGGTGGCGTTTAGCGTCGAACTGTAACCGACACGAGTGAAATGTGCACACTTCAGGTCACGCCTTCACAAATGGGGCTGGGGGATGCTCACGTGACATAACTATCAAGCAAATGAACTGAACTGAGCGGCACGAACATTTGAATTAGATTAGTTCAACCAAGTCACATCTTTTGTAGGTAGTCCACATAAGGATCAACTAAATATCCAGAGGTATGCCTGTCGTGATAATTAAGTCTCAATGTATTTTTCAAAACTCGGCTCCATTGGCGCGTTAAATGGCACGTGCAAAAGGTCACTGAATCTAGAATTAGCCTGGCAAAGCGTTGTCCCTGTGGCAACCGATTTGCTCACTGAGCTATGTAGTGGTTTTGCACAATCAATGACGATGAACTGACCAGTTCAACTAAGTGGATGATGCCGCGTTCGTAATTCAAATGTCCACCGCGTTGACCAAACCAACGACTATCTGTTTCACCCTATTTTTCCAAGCTGCACATCTTCGTTCCAATCCTTTACGATACCATCCGTTTTCGGAACATTACAAAAATTCTTTAAAAGGCTTTTTGTTCGGTGAATCACGCCAGATCAAATGAAGGATGGCCCGAAGTATAAAGAATTCCAGTGAACGACCACAGTTATCACACAACCTCGCGGTGCTCGCTCATAAGCGTACTGTTTCAATATATATATATATATATATATATCCCTTCGAGTGAGACGATAAATCTTTATGGAGTGGTACCCCGGAGAATCCCCCTGCCGCTGTCGGACTGTTTCACAACTTGTT